TGAGGACGCCGGTGTGACGATCCCTGCCTGAGGTCAACGCGTGATATGTGGTGGTGGTGATGTCTCGGACACATACTCGCGCGGCGCCCGAAGGCTTGCAGACAGACAGACAGACAGACAGAGATCGCATTCATGACCTGTGCGGAAGGATACATGGATGGATGGATGGACGCATGGCTGGTGCGTGATGGTCAGTAAATAATGGTCTTCAACGTCTCAACGATCCAATCATCAACCAGATGGCCTCTGTCGATCAATCAATCTCTCTCTCTCTCTCTCTGTGTGTGTGTGTGTGTGTGTGTGTGTGAGCTACCGCCCCACAATCCCACAATCGTCCATCCATCCATCCACCCCTCCCACGGAGAGTTGTGCACGGCACTCCCATGTACTCCAAAGCTATCGATCCCAGCGTCTCGCCAGGATGTGCCCACTGATGGATGGCTTTGGACCCACTGATTCATATCCTGAAAGGCAGAGAAATGAATAAGGCGACAGCGTCATGTATCATCTGACCGGCGCAGGCTCCTGCAGCTGCCAATGAATGGATGTCACTCGCTGTCAGCTCGACTGCCGACACCTCAGTTGCGACCTGACGCACACTCACACACACACACACACACATTCACACAAGAAGGCTGCGTATATTCGCGGCAGACATGCAGTGGGCTGATCTGTGGCATGGCATGGCATGGCAGAGATCACGTGGTGGTGCCCAGTGGCACCAGAGTGGTCGTTGGGTCGGTGTTGGTCGGCTGTCGGTTGACTGATCCGATAGATGGGCCGGTCGCGAGACTCACCAGGGGAGCGGCTCAGCAACACACAGACATCACCTCCTCAATCTCTCTCCGTACTTTTTGGCGGCCTTGGACGGCTGAGCTGCTCAATTCCGCGGGCGGCTGTTGCTGTTGAGTGCTGTGTCGGAGAGGGAAGGGGCTGGGGTAGCAGATGGAAAACTTCCCCACCGCGTGTCGGGTGGCGGTAGTACAGGTCCTGGGCTTCGTTTATAGTGAGGAATCCACCGAGGATGTCGCTGGCGAACGGACCACTTCACCAGCTCCCGCACTTCCTCCGTCCGACTCCTTGTCGGACAGAAGGCAGACCACATGGACCACATGTGGTCTGTGGCTGGGTGGTTTCTGATCACCACAGCCGTCCCGGGGCTCTGCGCGACGAAGTGGTCTTGAAGAAGGTTTCACGGAAATGTGAGGTGGAGAGATCTGCTGCTTTAAATTTGCCGCGCCCGCCTTCATCTGTGGGTCGACAGAGGCGTGTGCACGCCAGGTTGATGAATGCTGTCACCCTCTCTCGCACGCAAGAGTGCGGGTGTATCTCCATCTACTGCATGCGCCGACACACATAGCTATGTGGTGGTTACGTGCATTCGATGCCCATGCCGACCGACGACGCTCGATGGCTGGCACAGTGGTCGCACTTTGCCAGCCACAGAGCATCAACAGCCTCTCAAGGCGAGCGAACACACAGCCACACACAAACTAGCCGACACACGCCCAGCTGCGATTGCACGCCATAGATTGCGATCGACCACCCACACATCCATCCATCCATCCGCTAGGCACAGCACAGCACAGCAGCCCTCCATGGCATGCAGCACGCCACGCTACGCTGACTACCTTCCTACTCATTCAATTCATTCATTTCTCTCGGTCTGTCCTCTGTCTTCACTGACTCACTCGTCCTCCTCGCCCTGCCGTGGCTCCGGCTCGGGGATGGTCTTGATCAGGTCGTCGATGCGCAGGATCGTCACCGCTGCCTCAGTGGCAAACCTACACACACACACACACACACACACACGGCATGGGAGGGGGAGGCACAGACATAACAGACAGAATAAGGTGCGGTGGGGGGGAGTGGGTGACCTGATAGCTTTTGACTTGGTGAGCAGCGGCTCGAGCACGCCGTCCTTCATGCTGTTGCGGACCTTGCCGTGCACCAAATCCAAACCACACCTGTCGACACATCACATGACCACACACACACACACATAATGCGGTCAGTCAGGCGTGTGTGGTGTGGTGTGTGTGGTGAATGAAATGAGGTGAGTCAGTCGATGGACTGACTGACTGACCATTTCAGGTCCTTTTTCTTCTCGTCTGTCGGGGCGGCCGTCTGTGCGGCGGCGTGGTGGGACCGCAGCTTGGCCAACAGGTCGGTGGCGTCCTACAGACACACACACACACACAGAGAGAGAGAGAGAGAAAGAGATGGTGATAGTAAGGAGGTCAATACTCGTGTGTGGATGGATGGATGGATGGCTGAGTGAGTGAGAGGGTTCCCCACACAGTACCAACCAGTGCAGCGTTGATGGCGAGTTGCTTCGGGATGACCTGCAGAGCCTCCGCAAACTCCGCTATCGCCAGCTGCTCACGAGAACCCTACTCACACCACACCGCACCACAACACGCCATAACACATATCCCTCTCCCCCCTCTCTCCCCCCCCTCTCTCTCTCTGTGTATGCGTTGGCGAACTGACCAGTGTCCGTGCGAAGTCTTCGAGGTATATGGCGAGTGCGGTCTCGACGGCGCCCCCGCCGGCGCATACGTAGTTTGACTCGAGGGTGCGCGAGACGGCGCAGAGGGCGTCGTGGACGGACCGCTCCACCTCGTCGAGCATGAACTCGTTCGCACCCTGATGCAGATGTGTGTGTGGATGGATGGAATGGAATGGAATGGAATGTGTGTGTGGGGCTTGGCTTGGGGGGTGGGGGGTACCCGCAGCAGAAGGGATGTGGAGCGTGCTGACTTGCAGCCCTGCACATAAACACAAAGCACACACAAACCGATCGGTGTGGGCGTGTAGATGAGATGAGTGACAGAATGAGATGAGTGAATGGCAAGAATAATGTGTTTCAATGCAATGCTCGCCTTGATGAAGATGAAGTCGTTGTCGCCCACTCGCTCCTCGCAGACCTCATCAGCGTGACCTACACACACACACACACACACACACACGTCCATCCACACACATCCATCGATCCACACACGCAGCGCGTCCACGAGACCGTAGGTACCTAGGTTGCCAGGGTCGAACTTCTCGTCCCCATCCAGTGTGGCCAGCGTCAGACACACGTGGCCTGAACACACACACACACACAGCCAGAACAAAAGGTGTCCGGACACACATCCACACACGCCTGTGTGGGTAGAGACGGACCTCCAGTGGCTTTGGCGATCCTGCGGATGTCCTTGGTCGTCACGCGCCGGACGGCAATCGCCTTGGCCTGTGTGTATGTGTAAGTCAGTCATCACCCACCAGACTTACCCGCCACGCGCTGCGCTGTGTCCTCACGTACCTCGACAAAGTACTTGAGGCACATGTCGTCGATGCCCTTGGTCGTCAGAATCACGTTTGCGCCTACACACACACACACACACAGACTCATGCAGAGAAAGATAGATTGAGAGAGAGAGAGACAGAGTTATGCAGGGGAGAGGCCGCACCCACCACCCACCTGAGCTGAGTATCTTGCTGATCTTGTCCTTGGTGATGTCCATCTCCCTGAAGACACCACACCACACCACAGCACCACACACGGAAAGCCGTCCGTGCGGCCAGCAACAGCACCCCGTCGACAAACGTACTTCTGTCTGATCCGCTCCAGCTCCTTTGGATCAGTCACCTGCACCTGCACACCTGCACACAACCACACACAGAACCATCCATGTGTGTGTGTGTGTGTGTGTGATGGGTCGGTCCCTCACTCTCTCACTCATTCACTCACTCACCAAGGGCAGCTCGGTATCTGTTGAGGTTGAAGTCCACCATGGCTATCTTGGCGGGTGACACACGAGTGGGCATGCCTGACACACACACACACACACACAGAGAGAGAGAGAGAGTCCACCACACCACAACATCCCACCCACACACCCCAACTCACTCAGAGCTGCTCACCCTGTGCGGCCCTCTGGAGCTGCAGGCCGTAGCCAGGGACGATCATCGACTCGCGAGTGCTCTTGCCGTGGCACTTGAGCACGTTGATCGCCTTGACCGGATAACGCGTCGCACCCCGCTCAGTCACCTACATCAGTCAGTCACATCACACACACACGTGAAGCTTCGTGTGTCCCTCCCTGTGTGTGTGGCTTACAAATTTGACAGATGAGATGGCGTCGACGACCAAGTGGGCGAAGAAATCTGACTCACTGGACACACACAGACACAGACACAGACACACACAGAGGAGGGCATGTCTGTGTGTGGGGTGAGTGGTTGCCGTAAGTAAGTCCTTACGCGCCGATGTATTTTGACGAGATGGTGGTGCGGGCGACATTCAGCAACACCTCCTTGCCTGCATTTACAGCACACAGTCCCTCCCTCCCGGCCTGCCCTCTCTGGCTCCCTCACCGAGTTGGTCGACCTTGACGCAGAGGTTCTCCTGCATGTACTTGACACACTCCTGCACACACCACACACACACACACACACACAGACACACACACACACACACCGGCAGACAGACAGACAGACAGATAACTCACGAACACCTGTGTGTCTGTCTGTCTGTCTGTCTCTGTGTGGGAGGGGGAGGGTACCCAGCCAGATACCTACCTTCATGGCGAGTTTGTATCCTGCTATGACGGATGTGGGGTGGATGCCGCCACGCACCAGGTCATTCCCACGCTGTGGGGCGGACAGCACACAAACAGCGAGAGGCATGTATGGATGCATCGCCCCATCTAGGCTTACCTTGAGCAGCTCCGCCGCTATGATGACCACAGACGTGGTGCCATCACCCACCTACACCCACACCACACACAGACAGACAGACAGACACAGATATCAATCACGCACTCACATCAGTCACATGCGGCCCCTTCCTCCCCCCCTCACTCCCTTCCTCCCCCCCCCTCTCTCCCTCTGGACATCTCTCTGTGTGCCGTTCGCTGGTTCGTGGTGCGTGCGCCTGTCTGTCTGACCGACCTCTTGGTCCTGGAGGTGCGAGAGCTCCACCATGACCTTGGCAGCGGGGTGCTGCACCTCGAGCTGCCCCAGGATGGTGGCGCCGTCGTTGGTGATGACCACGTCGCCGATGTCGTCCACCAGCATCTTGTCCAGACCCTGCGGACCCAACGACGAACGCAATATGTTCGCCAAAGTCGCCACGGCCGTCACTGCAGCCACGAGAGAGGGAGAGGGAGGAAGATCTCTGTGTGTATTTCGTGCATGCGCTCGACTGACAAACGTGTGTGGATGTGCCTAGCTGCATGGTGTTGCGCGGTGCTGTGCTGTGAGGATGTGATGCGTGTGTGCGCGCGCCGCGTGTGTGCTATGTACCATTGGCGCCTCTGACGTCTTGGCCCGACTCCCTCTCGCCAAACACGCCAACTGACGGATGCATCGACATGCTGGAACTGCGAAAGAGCGAGATCTGTCACCGCGCGAGCTTGCATGCGAAGCTCGGCCTGTGCCCGTTTTATCCCGATGCCCTTTTGAAGCGAGATCTATCCTCTTCTGCGCGTGTCCGAGACCTTTCCCCTTCTGACCATCACCGCGTCGTCTGACTGCCTGCCTGCCTGCCTGTCTTATTATCATGTATATGACGATGCTGTTGGTTATCTGTCTTATGCTGCTGACAGCGGAGGGCTGCCGGCCATCGGCGGTGTCCGCCTTTGTTGCGCCGCCCGTCCGCCTCTCCCGCGCCACCAAACACACAGATCTGGCCTCTCAGATGAGAGCCACCAACCAAGGTGAATGAATGATATCTATGTCGCCACACACACACTGATGAATGTCTGTCTGTCTGTCTGTCTGTGCAGCAAGCAGGTGAGCAGCGGATGGCTGAGGTGGACCGGAGGCTGCAGACCTTTGAACAGAATGCTCGCTTCATGGCCGAGTGCAGCCTGTTTCTGTCGATCTGTCGATCTCCTCGATGCTTTTCATCTTCCAGCGGGATTTCTTTGTTCTTGTCCTTTCTGGTTCCAGTCACATCCGTCACATTGTCTCACCCGCACCAGATGCCGCACACGGCCCAGCCCCAGCGCCCATTCTGTCGGCCATCGCAGGAAACATCGGCCAAGTGGCAGCCAGCCAGCCACACATCTTGTGTTGATGGATGGATGGATGGACGGATGGATGTATGCTCACGGAAACGAGACTAAGCGGTCGAGGGAAAGGCTGCGTGTGTATCACTATGTGTGTCGGTTCGCGTTTGTGTGTGGACTGCCATATTGTAAGTATCCCGTTCACAGATGCATGCACCCTTGTGTATCCGTCCTCAGTCCATGGATGCATCACGCCGAGCCATGTGTGTCACATCTACTCACCCACCCATCCACCCGCCCACTGCGTCTCACCATGCATCATTGCAGACAGCCGGACACACCACACCGCCCCCTTAATTCTATCATCTTTCTGTGTTTGTTTGTGTTGGTGGGTGCTTCGCACGCCACCCACACATAGAAACACACACACACAAGGGGCACCGCTACACCACACCAACCCCAAATCAGGCGCACACAACACACGAGAGGAGAGGCAGGCAGAGAGACGGCTGAGCTGCCTGGTCGGTCGGTCGGTCGGTCGGCCAAAAGAAGAAAAGACGAACGAGACACACAGACAGACACACACATACAAACACGCCGCAAAAGCAAGACGGGTCCAACGAAGTTACACGGACGGGGTCGACAGACAAAGTAAAAGAAGAGGGGTACACACGAGAGCCATCCATGCGTTCCGCACACTCACACATCCCACACCACCCCATAGTTCTTCCAACACACACACGCCGAAAAACGAATCGATGGACGGACGACAAAAACGCCAAACGAAACCCCAACCAACAGGCGACCACCAACAGGGACTGAGAGGTGTGAGGGCAGTGAGTGCAGCGGCCGGCCAAGTGGTACATACATGGGTAGAGAGGGTGGGTGAGAGATCGGGGGTTTTGTGTCAGTCACCTTGCTTGCTTCCTGCATGCACTCTGCTTCCGTCCATCCATCCATCACGGCACGTGCACGCCAATGTCTGTCTGTCTGTCTGTCTGCAGTATGCATCTCTCTCTCCCACCCCCTCACACCCAACGGGCATTCTGTCTGCAATATGCCTGCCTACCTGCACGCGACAGACGTCGACAGCAGTATGCCCGTTCGTTTCCTGCCTGTGCACACACACACACCTCACTCCCGCAATCCCCCACAAAGATAACGGCCACCGCACGCACATGGGAAAGACGACCCAATACTGCACACACAGGCACACACCGGAAGGAAAGAGGACGGGTCAGAAGAAACACAGCACCATGATACATATGTAATCCATTGTTGGCGGCAAAGAAAACACCCCAACGATGGCAAAAAAGTAAGACATCCATCCGTGAGTCGACCGACAACCAGCAGACAAAAGAAAACACGAGCCCCGACGCGACACCCACGTGGCACCCACCCATCTTTCCATCTGTCCATCCATCCGTCCATCCATCCGTCCATCTATCCGTCCGTCCGTCCGACTGACCGATCAGCCCTTGTCTCTCTCTCTCTCTCTCTCTCTCTCCGTCTGTGTCTCAGAGTATGCGTGGGGATCGCCAGACTGAGTGCGGATCACACACTCATCGGCGCGCCCGCAGTCTGCCGGCCCAGAGCCCTTGGACCTGGCGATAGGCCAAGGGTCGCTCCCAGTAGGGGGGCTGCTGCTGCGGTGCGTCAGCCATCTCTACATCGGGCACCCTGTACAAAGAAAACAGACATAAACATCACACAGGCGATGTGTGCGTGAAGGAACGCATGGATGGATCCATTGCCGCATGCATGGATGGATGGATGGATTCACTCACCCGTCGTGCGGCTGTGGGCGAGCCACGCGGCGCTTGAGACGCCTGCGGCGCTGCGCCAGCGGCTCGTCGTCATCAGCCTCGCCATCGTGTGCGCCGCCCTCGTCGTTTTCCCTCTTCCTTTTCCCGCCTCCCTTTCCTCCAGCACCAGCACCAGCACCACCGCCGTCGCCCTGACCACCCGCTGCCTGGATGGCCATGAGCAACACCAGCAATACAGCCCACGCCGCCGCAGCCTGCGCCCCCTGCTGCCCCTGGTGGCCGTGCCCGTCGTCAGCGATCATGGCGATGGGGTTGGGTGCAGGCAGGGGGTTGGCCGCCGTGTCCCGCGCCTCGTCAGACCGGAAGACTACGAGCACATCGTAGTACATGTACGCGTATGGGGTGCGCTGCTGGACGGCCTCCCGGTGGGGCTGGTCGCGCATCAGCAGCTCGACCACGTCCTGGTTCGACATGACGGCCTGCCGGGGGGCCACCTCGGTGATGGTCTCCATGTCCGCCCACACGCCGTTGCCGAGCAGTCGGATGGCCTGGATGTGCGTCTCGGTGGGGCGGCCGTTGCCCATGAGGGCGACTTCTGTGGTCGCCAGCACCCCACACACCTCCCCGGCCGACATGCTGCCCAGCACCGAGATGCGCTCCTCCATGGTATCCCCATTCACCTGCACCAAAATACACGACACATGGAGGGACCCAATGAATGAATCCCGAGAAACCCACACATCCCTCCCTCTTAGCACCTGAGCCAGACGTATGGCGTGGTGGTCGGTGGCGAGGTTGATGTACTCGCCGCACTCGCCCATCTCCTTCTTCTGCTGCCCGGGCTCGTCCCGGAAGAGGTGGTTGGGCAGCCTGTCCTCTCCCGTCAACCCGAGCAGGTTGTTGAGGGCCTTGTACGGACAAGAATTGTCGTACAATACCACCCTCTCCCCATTCATGTCGACGTAGTCTTCAACGGGCGCCTGCCGGTCGAACTGGAGGGCGAGGTCGTCCTCTCCGTCCAGAGGGATGGTGAGGCGGCCGTTCTCGGTGTGGTGGTCCGCGAGGCCGGGGTTGTTGGCGAAGAAGATCTTGAGACGCTGCAAAGCCGCCAGCTGACCTGCATGGGCGTCAATCAATGGAAGAGGGAGGGATGCATGCAGAACGACCTGCTCACGTGGATCTCACCCTCTGTCGGGACCACATAGCCGAGGTCTCCTCCCTGTGGCGGTTGCGGCGTCTCTGGCGGCGACACATCTGACAGGTGCGACATCCACACTGCAAATGGCACGAGATTCAAGTCTTTTGCCCTCACTCACCGGGAACCAGATGACCTCCTCCCCCTCCAAGCCGAGAGCCTCCTGCGATGCCCCTGTTCTGGGGCGTCCCACGCCCAGGACTCCCTCTCTCCATCGTTCTGCTGCTGGGGGCTCTTGTTGCTCTCGATTTTGATCGTCCGATTCTGAGACGCCCCCAAAAATCGAAAACGATCGTGGCTCGCGATATCATGTTGCTTTCAAGCGACGAAACTCCTCTGATACTGCCGTGACAAGGTCCAGATGCAAAACTGATGGGGCCAGCACACTGGCACTGTCACGGACCATTCATTTATTGAGTGCACACTTGCATTGCGCTCTCCGTCAGAGGCGAAAGCGGACTGACGTCAGGCTCTCTCTTTCTCGGTTGGATCTGCCGCGTAGTTGCCGCGCCGTTAGAGAGAGAAAGCTGCAGTAGTTTTCGTGTCCAATTGCCCAACCCCACTGTTGACCCATTGATGAGGCACGCCACGCCGCTGTCTGAGCGGCTCTGTCCATCATGCACGCAGTCACCACACCACAGCACACCGCACCACACCCAATCCATGCCGAGCCACGCACTTGAAAGACAGCTGTCTGTACATGCAGAGATCAGTCGCCTGCGCGAGCTTGCATGCGAAGCTCGAGCCTGATGCCAGATCTATCCTCTTCTTGTCAGAAGTGCAAGTCGGTCCAGGGTTTAGGGTCTAGGGTTCATAGACCGACGATCCACTGATCTGTGAGACAGGACGGCTGTTGAGTCTTTGTCCGTTCCATGAGACAGGCCATGGCGGACAGGACGTCAGACAGGATGGACTGACGCATACTACATGTCCTACGTGGACTCTCCACAAAATCCACAGACCTTACGTTGCATTGACTTAATCCTTTATCCGGGACTGACCGCCCGGCAGATCCTCTCTTCACCATTCTCCCCGACTCTCTCCCACCTATTCTTACATGGGCGCAGCAGTCTGGTTTGTCTTTCCGCCTGATCGGCAGTTGGGCAGATCCTAACAGGTCTGTCTATCATCCGCCTGTCGGCAGTCTGTCTGTGCAGCAGCCTGTCAGCAGCCTGTCTATCGTCTGTCTGTCGGCAGCTGATAGATCCTAACCGGTCTATCAGTCCGCATTCTCTCGGTGGTATCGACC